TTCCTTCCTTCCTTCCTTCCTTCCTTCCTTTCTTTTATTCCTTGTTCTTTATCAACATAGTTACCAACACACCTTTTTATGTGTTTCAGGTATTACCAAGGTCTGACCATGGAAGCAATTTTAGCCACCTTTTTTGGCATTGACTGCAATGCACAGAACGATTACGACGATCCAGCATTTAAAGCTGGAAGAAACAGCCTTGATCCAGGCCCGGTCAGACGATTCATCACTGGTCTTATAGCAGTCGTACCATTTGGTCCATATCTTGTGAAATTTTTCCCGTCGTTTTTCATTGGCCAGTTTCAAGATCTTGTTCACTTGACAGAGAAGATGATTGAAGCTAAAAGAAGCGGGGATAGTAATCAGAGAAAGGTTAGATCAACTTTATTAAAATAATATAAAATAATGCATTTATTGCATAAATAAAATACATATTTACATATCTGAAGCCAGGAGCAGGCGTAGCTCAGTTGGTTAGTGTGCAACCTTCAGAGCTTGAGGTCCACAGTTCGATCCTTAGGATCTCCACAGCTGTTTCGACTTCTCTCTAATCCGTGTAGCTTCAGCTTTAAATACTCTTAAAACAGAGCACTGATGGAGAGAGGGGGTAAAGTGCGCACCGTCGGCTTCCATTGATAGCAGTTGAATTTCAACAGAAGGAACTACCGACGTTAAATATAGGTGCTTTACTTTTTTTTTTTTTCTTAATTAAAGAACAAAACCAGACTTAAACGAACAAGGACAATCTGTTGCTCTAAAACTATTAAATTGAACAATACCTGTATGCATATTAGTCCCTAGGGTTTACAGTACTTCATTAATAGGTATTAGTCCCTAAGGCTTTATAGTATTTCACTTTATCATATGACCCGTACGGCCCTGCTCGTGCGCTCTAATAAAACCATTGGAAAAAGTCACGTGATGGGGGCCGGACGGGTTGACGTAAGCGGGCCGGAAAAACCCGTCCGGCCCTGCTCCAATCCGCGCGCTTTCTTTTTCTTAATTATTTTTATTTTCGTGAGGGTCATATGATAAAATGCTTATTGACTGAGTTAGGTCGGGCCGTACGGGAAAATATTTGGCTCTCGGTCATTTGTACGGACCTCGCTGCGCTCGGTCCGTACGACATGACCTCGAGCCAAATATTTTCCCGTACGGCCCGACCTAACTCAGTCAATAAGTACATAGTAATACACTTATAGTGAGTCATTAAACTGATGATGGACGATGGATATATTCGTATATAAACTTTTGGCCCAAAGAAACATATTCACATAATGTTTAAAATATTACTAGAAATATTAAAATCAAATTTAACCATCTACAAACCTAATTTCAACTTAAAAGCTAAACGGTTCTTAAAAGCATTCTTATAGCGCTCAGTCTTTATAACACACTATTTTTGTTCTGAAATTTCTAAGATTGTAATAAGAGCGATTAGATCTAGGAACTAATTCATATAGTGTATTTTCAGGTAAAACTTTGATTATCTTAAAGAGCCCATTGTTTATTGTATGCAGGATATTAAGAATATCTATACATTCTGATATATACCTACGCATATTGTCTATCTACTGGACAGATAAAGCTCTTAATTCACAGCTTCAGGAACTCATTTGAGTGACTACCAAACAAGGGTTTTCAAGTCGAGGCTGGACTTGATGTGTTTATACACTTACTGTATTTTATCAAGTCCAGCCTCGAACTTGGAACCATCTTTTTGTGCTTGCTCAAGCATTTTAGACATGTCATCCTCTTGAAAATAAGATTCTTTGTTTGATTCGTATCCATGTTCATGTGTCTTCTCATGTGCAACCGTTAAACAAAGAAATGATACTCTAGCAGGGGCAGATCCAAGGGAGGGGTGCAGGGGGTGCGCACCCCTCCCTGATTCCACTTTGTGCCCCTAATTCGAAGATAACCAATAATGTTTTTTCCCTTTGATTCTAAGGGGTGCACCCCTCCCTGGATTAAATTTGTGCGCAGCACCCCTCCCTGAACAAAATCCTGGATCTGCCCCTGCTCTAGGGAATGACGTGGGCTGTAATGGAAAAACATTTCGTCAGAAGTATAAAGGTATGTATTTAGGAATATTATTAACATTTGGATGCTTTTTGCCAGGATGTACTTGGCTTGATGCTGAACCACACTAATGATCAAGACGTTCCAGAGAACAAGAGGCTGACAGAGAGTGAAGTTATTGCTCAAAGTATGGTGTTTCTATTTGCTGGCTATGAGACCACGAGCAACGTCCTCTCCCTGGCCTGCCATCACATAGCGACTAGCCCAAATGTCCAGGAAAAGTTGCAGAAGGAAATCGATGAAGTGTGGAGTGATGAAGACCAGGCACCGTCGTACGATGTTGTCCAGTCGTTACCTTATCTTGATATGGTGATCTCGGAAACACTTCGTCTCTACCCACCAGGTTAGTAAATAAAAATAAAATAAATAAATCACTTTTATTTAAGTGTCTAGTCGTTCTAGCGCTTTCGCACTAACTGAAACATTTTTCGCTCATACGCACTACCACTACGTTTAATATTCTATGCACACAACGCTCAACTCACATGCTGATTTTTACGGAGGGAGGGAACCCGAGAACCCGGAGAAAACCCTCGTAGCATAGGAGAGAACAACACATCAAACAAACTCAATTCACATGTGATATATATGGCGACAGGGCTCGAACCAGTGACCCGGCCCATTGGAATCACAGCGGTGAAAGACGACGTGTTAGAACGCCACCCATGCTACCCATAGTCTTTGGTCATATTTTCACATTCTAACCCATTTGAACCCGTGCCCTGGCGATTCCGGTGCCGCGCTCTAACCACTGCGCTATCAAGTTTCATATGATACTTTAAACTGGCCCTGCCGTGACTTTGATCAGCCCAGAGGTCGTTTCAGGGCTCATTCAGTGAATTAGTCATGACCTGACTTAGATCGGCCCAAAGGTTGTTTCAAGGTTCAATCTGTGAGCCATGCCCTGACTTAAATCAGCCTAGAGATTTTCAGGGTTCGATCTGTGAGTTAGCCATGCCCTGACTTTGATCAGCCCAGAGGTTGTTTCAGGGTTCAATCTGTGAGTTAGCCGTGCCCTGACTTAGATCAGCCCAGAAATCGCTTCAGGGTTGAATCTGTGCGGAGTTTTACCTTGTTTCGACTCAGATCAGCCCAGAGGTTGTTTCAGTGTTCGATAAAATTGGGTGCCCTTGGTTTTAATTTGTAAGCACTTGAAAAACATTGTTTTATTGCCGTGTGTAATGTTTTTTTTTTATTCCAGCTTTTGCGACAACCCGAGAGTGCACCAAAGATTGTGTTATCAAGGGTCTTCCTATCAAGAAAGGAACTTCGATATTCACCGCTGTCTACAGCATGCATCGTGACCCTGAGTTCTTCCCAGACCCCGACACCTTTGACCCAGAACGCTTCAGCGTCGATGCCAAGGCGTCACGTGATCCCTACACCTACCATCCCTTCAGTCATGGTCCACGCAACTGTATTGGGATGAGGTTCGCCCAGATGCAGATGAAGCTGGCTATAGTGCGCATTTTGAAGAAATTCAACTTTGTAGTTGCGCCTGAAACTAAGATTCCACCGGTTGTCGAAGTGAAGCAGATTCTGGGCTGCTCTGATGGTATCTTTCTCAAGGTTGAACGCAGACACTGAAGCTACATAATATACCTTTTTAGCTTGGACGTAATTTCTTTCCATTTAAGACCAAATGTTATTCTTTAGAGAACCATTTCTTTGTTTAATGGCTTCACATGAGAAGACACATGAATATGGATGCAGCTAAAACAAAAAATCATTTTCTCAAGAAAAAGAAATGCGCTCTGTAATCGGAAAACATTCCGTCCAAGCTAATTTTTTATTTTTTTTATTTTTTATTTTGCATTAGGAGTTGCAAGATAATTAATGGTGTTACAGTCATTCTCAATGGACCAAATCCACTTGGGCGTAATCTTTTCCCATTTCAGACCACTTGTCATTCCCTACATTATTATTTCTTTGCTTGGCGGTTGTTAAGAAGAAGGCGCATGCATATGGAGACAACTCAAACAAAGAACCTTATTCTGAAGAGAAGGCAAGTGGTCTGTAATAGGAAAACATTTCGCACAAGTCGATTTGGTCCATCCATAGTAGCATGCGCGATGAAACCGTCGTCTTCACCGTTTCCATCACATTCCATAGGCACGTGCAATTTCAATTTTTTGCCAATTCTCGACTTTCACATCCCCATAATCCTTTGCGTCTTTGGGGGGTAACCAGAGGGTAAAAACCCACTTATTTTGCTGAAGGCTGATCAGACAATGTTGAAAATACCTTGTTTGGTATCCAAAGATAAAATGAAGAAGTAAAAAACGGAAAAAGACGGAAGCTTGAAGACGTTTAAGGTAAATTTTTAACATTTTTTCGTAAGTCAATCGCAAAGCAGTACGATTCCGCGCATGCGCTATTGAGAAAAACTGTTTAGACCATAAAAGGAAGTACAATTAGAATCCTGTTAGTAGTTCAGTATTCAACATATAATCGAAGCATAGATATAAAAATTAACTACTTTGCACCTTAATATTCACTTATCAGTTTTCTTCATGAACTAACACTACGACATTCACCTTTTCTCTGTGTATTTGTGTTTATAATGCAGATTTTGAACTGTAGCACTTGAGAACGTCGAACTCTGCAACATTTCAAAAATTGCTCGCGTGTATCAATAGAGGCTTTGCACCATCAGAACCTTTATTATCATTTTTTCCTTTTTCATTAAGATTTTGGAAATACAAGTCAAAGTCCGTATAAGAATTTTGCAAAATTTCACCGTACAATATTTGATTTTTTWAAATTTTGAATAGTTCGATCATCTTTGGGACTAGATTCTCATTTTGAGAATGTCAAATGAAAATGCTTACGTTATCATTCCTACTGCGCCGTCTAAACCAAAAAAACGTAACGTTGATCGTGTACTAACATGACAATGTTATGATATTAACCGTTATGCACTAGAGTGCACGCACTAAATCCGTGAACATTAATTAGTACTGATTAGTATTATTTCATACAGAATCCTTTGTTTTCTATTGTTTATTTATCACCATTTAGTACTAAAAGTTAGTATTTGTTTTACGGGTTTAGTGCGTGCACTCTAACATTGTTTCAAGATTCAAAATTTCACTTTGTAGCTGTTTTAAAAATAATCCAATAAAAACCAAAGGTTTTTTTAAAAATAAATACGAAAATAGAGCAGTTAGATCATAGAATACCTTCCTTTCTTATTGCATGGGCGGCGCAACGATTTTATAAGTGTGGGGGGGGGGGGGGGGCTTACACACGACCAAACACGTGACTTTGTATGGATTGGACACAGGTAACCCATTGGGAAAACCGAATTATTTATTTGCGTGCCTCTCGTCAATGTTTCGTTTACTAATAATTACAGTTTGATAATAATATATATCTACCAAAATCTCCTAACTTTTTGAAAAAAGTTTGAACGTTCGATTTGGGCCCACGATGTGCGCGTGCTCAAAAACCGCTGAAAAATCGTTTTGAACTTCAAGAGAGCAAAACCCTCACATTTTGCACGGGACTCTATACTGCTTATGATCTTATTCCGAAAAACTCCTCAAAGTCTAGGTTATATCAATTTTTTTTAGAAAAACTTGATTTTTCTAAGACATGAAAAAATACATTTTTGTAGGGATTTTTTTTTTAACTCTGAGAGTTCTTGAAAGGCTGAAAGGATAAAATATGACAAATCAATGTGTTTCTTTGTCGTTTTGTAAAAAATACCTACGTATTATTGTAGGATGATACACTAGCCGTCATTCGTGCAATCGTAGAGTCTGCAAAGAACTAATATCTCATGAATCTTAATTTTTTTTCTGATCACTTTCGACTGAATTCGGTGTCACAATTTTTGCTCCAAAAAGTCGCGCATAGGCATCCATTAAATGCTGATTTTCTCGAAAACAAGCTCAGTACACCCCATTTTTCTTTTTATATTTGGAATCAGCAGCATTAAATTTCAGTTCAAAGACGTTTCAATTTTCAATTTTCTGTTTATTTTTTTCCAAAGTATTCAGCCACAGTCGCGAACTCTAGAGGCAAATAATATTTTCATATGTTAACGCTGTCCAGGTGAACTTTTAAATTAGTTTTCTCAAACAATCGGACTGCAGTTTATTAAATTTTTATTATTATTTAACTCAATTAGCTTTGAATTTGTTCTACTAACAACTCTTTGCACTCCGGCATGTTTTCGTTTGAACTGAATTTAGTCACTGAAATTCAATTTGGAATTATCTGGGGGGAAAATTGCTAGCAAGGAAACATTATTTATAATCTTAAACAAAGTTTTTTTGTTGTTTTTTTTATTTTATTTTTTTTTAATTAATTTGTTTTATTTTGTTTGCTGTAATTCCTAAATTTTCGTAAAATTTTTTATCATACAATCGACAAAATTACTCGATTCTGATTGAACAAGAGGAGTACAATTAAGTTGCTCGTAGAATTCATAATTTTCGAAAGTTCTCGAATATTGGACTCGCCTCGAAAGGCTCGTGCAATTTTGAAAACTTCCAAAACATCAATCATACCTATAAATTCCAAATTGTACTCGAGATCATGCGATTTCCTACACAAATTGTAAATCAAATTGTAATCTTAAATGTTAAAAGTGCCCCTTGGACGAAAAATGCTATCTTTTCGTACAAACTTGAAACTTCGTCCAAATAATCCATACTACCCTATTAATCACCTGTAGAAATTTTTTCTTCATATTCCGACGGGAAGTTTGAAAATTTTGCGTTTTTACTACCGGCCGCCATTA